ATCTCTAAATATATAATATATTTTAATTACACAAATATTTTTTTTTAAATATTTTAGAAAAAAGAAGTAAAGGTAAATAACCTTCAGCATCTTCAAGTATAGCCAAAAATGAATAAGTAAATAATGATAAGAAAAATGGGATCGAAATTATTAATTTGGATGAATATCTACATCTTGAATAACAAAAAATGAATGATTTAGCGTAAGATATGTTTATTCAAAAGCAAAAAAAGAAATGAAGAACTTGAAAGGGAGATCAAATTATTAGAAAGACGAAATCAGCTTTTAGGTTTATAAATTTTTGTAAAAAAAAAAAAAAATAATACATGATATTGTAAAAAGTTTTTTTTACTCCTCCTCGTTTTCAACTTTTGGTTTAGGTTTTTCTTTTTTTGAGGTAGTAAAGTCCGTACTTGAACATCCTCTACAGAAAAAAAGTTCGAATTTATTTAAAATTTTAAGTCATAAAATCATAAACATAAAGCTTACCTGCAGCCACATAAAACACACTCAACTATACGTCCTTCTTCTAATTTTGACTTTGGTACACGACAAATGCATGTGGTACCAAAATTAGTATCCTTAGGTTGAATACATCGTAAACAGCAGAGGCGTTCAAAACCCGGCTATACATGATTTAGATCGTAATTAGATTCATTAAATCTAGTATGAAACAATGAATAAAAAAATACAAACCTTTTTCCATTTTGCGATCAAATTACCATCAGCGTATCCATTTTTTAAACAGTAGTCATAAACTTCCTTTGTAATAGCCTCTCGTTTATAGTATAAATCATAAACGTAACGTGATCTTTGATGGTGCAAACGAAAAATGGGCCACAGGGATTCCACACGACGCTTTCCTTCGTGTGGCTCATTTTCGGCTACAATTTTTGAAAACATCACAAGTAAATCAAAGGAACAAAAGATTTAGACCAGACGATAGATATTTACCATCTTTCATTTTCCTTGCAAATTCTTGCAAGGTTTCTTCGATATCTTCGAAGCCTTCTGGAGGCTTCTTTGTTCGTGCGTGTCTAATTTTTGGCATCTTTTTGAAAGTTTTCTGTTATGTTGATTGCTATAAAAATTAATAAATAAACTTCTCGGCTGATCAATGCCGATCATTTCCGTCATTAGTTACTATGAAAATTATTATTTTCATAGTCAGGTACTGAGGTTACTCTGGGCGCCTTTGTTTCAACTAACGCAAACCATTTTTGATCGATTTAAATTCCGCTACGAAGGGGCTAAAAAGTTTTGAGGGGTAGTATGCTAAATCCTTGCGTCTGCCGGGCAAGCATAGGCATGGTGTTATTGCAAAATGGGAGGACCTTGGAAGAAGTCAAAATTATACTTGATATTAAAATGAGTTTATAATATTTTTAAATAAATCTCTTTTTACTTGGATTTAATTTATGAGGTGTTCAACAGTTTACATAAACTTAATTTATATGTTAATTCAATTGGTGTCATTGTCAATATTTTACGTTCCATTATTCGCTTGGAAAAGTTCAACCACAAAATTACTTCTTCGACTTTTCGTCCGTATTCGCGGTCAAATTTACAATTGTAATAAATTTATTTTATAACCTTGACGTTCACAATCGCATATATCTATGATTGAAAGAGTCGTGATTTGTTAATTCTAAATTAATATATATTATAATATTAAAATTCCTAA